GCAAAGGGAGGAATGGTAGTGGCCAGTCTGAGGAGTGATAATGTCCAACCACCAGGAACAGGAGTAAGAGCCGTCCAGTTACAACCACGCTGCTCTGCTTCCCACGGAGGAAAGGTTTCTCCTTTCCCTTCCTCCATCTGCTCTGCGAAGGTCCCTTGGCACAAGCCACCTCCTTGGACCTGCATGGTTATGGATTAATAAAGCAGGCCAGGAGGGGCTGGAGATCCCAAATACATCTAAGGGGCTGCTCTACAGCTGAGGACTCAGAGCTGCCAAGAGTTTAAGCAACACAACCACCATGCAGACTGCCCCAGACCCAGCAGCTGCCAATTCCTGGGAACATCACTGGGTATTTGCCCACAACAAGTTAAACCCAAGATATCTTCAGCAAAATATCACAATCTTAAGAAAATCAGCATCACCCAAGCAAGCAGCCTCTCATGGGAGGCTTGTAAGCAACCCCAAGAGGCTGGCAGACCAGGAGGTGTTTGCACCGCACTCACTATGATCACCAACCGGTCCATCATGTGGTCCAGCTTGGTTTTCTTCAGCTTGATCTTTCCACAGTTCCTCATAATTTTGGAATCAAATCCTGGATGAGAGACATTTTAGAAGTAAAAACACAAGTCCACAGCCCCCAGGAGGTTGACTTGCAGCAAAGTGATTCTGGTTTCCACCATAACAACATCTCCACACATCTGAAGACTTCAGAGAACCTCGTCCCTCAATCAGTGGTTAATCAAACCATGGCTGCACACTTGGAGAAGTGCTGCTTACACCAGATCCTGTCCCTTTCCTCCCACAACTATTCATAGAATCATGGAATCCCAGACTGGTTTGGGTTGGAAGGGACCTTAAAGCTCCTCCAGCTCCAACCCCTGCCCCGGGCAGGGACACCTTCCACTAGAGCAGGTTGCTCCAAGCCCCTGTGTCCAACCTGGCCTTGAACACTGCCAGGGATGGGGCAGCCACAGCTTCTCTGGGCACCCTGTGCCAGCGCCTCAGCACCCTCCCAGGGAAGAGCTTCTGCCTCAGAGCTCATCTCAGTCTCCCCTCTGGCAGGTTAAAGCCATTCCCTTGTCCTGTCCCTCCATCCCTTGTCCAAAGCCCCTCTCCAGGTTTCCTGGAGCCCCTTTAGGCCCTGGAGCTGCTCTAAGGTGTCCCCTTGAGGAGCCTTCTCTTCTCCAGCTGCCCCAGCCCAGCTCTCTCAGCCTGGCTCCAGAGCAGAGCTGCTCCAGCCCTCGCAGCAGCTCCGGGGCCTCCTCTGGACTCACCCCAACAGCTCCACATGGCCAAGCTCTCAGGTGCACTGAGCCATGAAGGTGAGTGGATCCAGGGCAGGACGCACTCACCTGCGTAGATAACCAAGCCGTAGCAGACATCGGTGTTGCGAAGCCTGCAGCCTCGCAGCAAGATCCTCTCGCTGTCAAGGGGGTAGGTGTCCCCCCTCCAGGCCAGCGTGCCCGTGAAGCTGTGCATGTGGCTGTTGGGCTCCTCGCAGGTCACTCTCCCTGGAGCACAAAGCAGGATTCAGATAATGGCTTTGGGGGAAACAAGAGGACCCTCCTCTCCCCTCACGCCTGCCCCCTCCAAAGAGGGGTGCTGGGGGCTTCTTGGGGAGATTCAGGGATTGTCAGGGCCTCTCCAGATGCAGCTGGGATATGGATGGCTCGAATTCAGGCTAAGCTGGAGGAGGGCGCTCAGTCCACCGGGCTATAAAACTGGAGGAGGTACAAAGACAACTCCATCCCCAGGGCCTCCGGGAGAGGAGTCTGCATCCTGTGGAGGACCAAAGGGGAAAACACCCGGGGTCAGAGCTCAGGTGTGGGAGCCAGAGTTTGATTCCTGTGAGAAAATCTAGATCCAGGGCAGGGGGAAGATGCACAACCCCAATGTGCCACTTTGCTGGGGAAGGGTCTCCATGCAAGGTCTGACTCCTTGCAGCAGGAGAAAGTGCAACCTCATGTTGGACTGATGGCCTGGGTGCCCTGAGCATTCAGGGACTTCCTGAGGCTGAACCCATCCCATCCCGGCAGGAATTTTGCCATCTGGGAGACTCACCATCAAAGCCAGCCATGCTCTCTTCCCTCACCAGCTCCTGGTGGGTGACCAGAAGGGCTTGTCTGAACTTCAGGTTTGTCTCCCTGTGAACAAGAGCCAGGGAGGGAAAACTCAAACACCACTGTGGGGTGACAGAGCTCTTACTTCTGCTGTTGGCCCCATGGGACAAAGTCAACCATTAATTATCGGGTGATGGCAATGAAGAGCAAGACGGGGACCTATCGTACCAGGCAAGGAGCACTCATGCAGGTGCCCTGGCCCAGAGCCCCTGCCATTAAATCATCCTGCAGATGGAGGCAGGAGGATGGGCAGCCACTGTCCCGGCAGGGAGCTGAGGGATGGACGTAGGTGCCTGAGGTCACAAGCTCTGTGGAAGACTCGGAAGTGATTTTGGACTCACAAGATTTGGGGCTCAAATCCCATGTCTGGGGTGTCTGTAGGTTCAGCTTTCAGAGGATCCCACACATCCAATGGTTTCTACTGAACTTGGAGTGTGCCCGACCTCTCCCTCCCAATGCCAGGGTGTCCCCAAGACGGGAGCCATTGGCTCCATGTCTCCAACCCTCTTCCCCCATGGCAAGAGCAGCCCCCTGCCCCTCTCCTCACCCATCGATGTCGGCGGTCTCCACGTAGCACAGGCTGCTGGGCTCCGAGCTGCACAGCAAGAGCATGTCGGCCTTTAAAAGCAAAAGAGGGAAGAGAGAGCACTTGGCTGGGCCCCTCCTGACCACACATCCCAGCCCTGGTGCACAGGCAGCTCCGGGGCAGCACGCACCGGGACGAAGCTCTCCTTACGCAGGCGGACGATGTCCCCAACGCAGATGTCGCGCCACTTCTGCCAGCGGAAGCTGCAGGAGAATTAGAGGGGAAGGAGTTTTTGTCCCTGCGGAGCAGTGGGAACAGAGGCTGCGGCTGTTTCTGTCCTCTGGACCAGCTTCTTGCATGAATGGGGTCTCCAGACTGTTGGTTTCTCTGCCACAGTGGTGGCCTCCCATCCGCATAGCCAAAGGACGGCTGAGCACTGAGGATAGCACAGGACCCATTTGCACATCCATATCCCATGTACCTATGAGTGGCAGGGACTTTCAGCCCCCATGGATGAGGCAATGTTGGTCCTTCCCTGGACCAGTGTTCAGCTATGATATGGCTCCATGAGTTAGATACAAAGACCTGCAGAAACTTCTGTGGCCAAGGAACCCTCCTCCCAGCATATCACAACTAATTAGGGCTTCTTTAGACCTGTTCTTTATGACTGGGATATGATCATCCATCCCTACAAGGCAACTGCTGGACCTGCAGCAGGTATTGGGAGGCGATGAGAGTTTGCAGAAGCAGGGGCAATGCCACCAAAACCTTTCTCAGCTGCTATACTCAAGGAGGCTCAGCACTTCAGATGATCCATCATTCCACACAGACCTGGAAAACATAGGTCCAGCTTCCCAAAGCCCCTCACCTCTTCCCAGACAGGATCTCACACGGCCTGCTGTTGATGTTTCTGTCACTTTGGTGACGGC